TATATATATATATATTAAAGCCCTTATCATTTAAACTATTCATTTTAAATTTGAAATAGCTAGAAAATAAGGTAGTCTAGTTAAATTTCAAAATTATCTACAACTATGAGAATTGTTTGGGGATTTCATGTAATTGAGCTTCATGAATGATCAAATTACATTGATTAATTAAATTAAACCAATAACTTCTCATGTTCCCTCTTTAATGTAGCATTTCCAATTAAAAGAAACATGAACAACATAATTTACTTATGGAAATAGAATATGCATAACACATACAAGTTATTTAAATGAAAAAGAATGGGAACCCGACAATTTGATTAGTCAATGAAAAAGAAATTAAAGATGTAGCAACTTATAATATCGTTCTAACAATGGATCTTCATACTTAGAAATAAGTTAGGCAATAGGGCGAGCGAGAAATTTGAAGTCTCATATCAGTAGGGCAAACAAAAAAGATTGTCGTTCGTGAACAACTATTGTTTGGCTCGATAAGTAGTTCAAGTTCGATTGTTCGTTAAACAAGTGAATCAAACACAAGCAAGATTTTTTAGTTTGAATTATAAACAAACCGAACACCAAGAAGTTGTTCAATCGTGTTTGGTTCGTTTTGGTTCAAAATAAACAAATAATTAAAAATTAATATAATTATAAAATTTTATATTGAAATTTTATGTTATATTTGATAGTACAAATTTTAAATTTAAATTTGATTAAATTATTATAAAAAAAATTAATTCTAAATTATCTCAAATTAACCTCCAATTTTTTATATTTTTTTAATAAAGAATTAAATTTATTTTTTTAATTTTTTTTTACCTCATATCAAACTAAATACGAGCAATTCTGACAATTCAAATTAAATTCCAACAAATTAAACTGAATAAGAACACCCATTTCAGGAATAATTTTGATCACAAGCCTATTTCAAATAAATTTAATTTCAAATGAACCAAACACGAAGATGAGCTCTCTTCGCTCATGTACGGTTCACCGCTACATATCTCAACATACAACTGGGAGCAAAAATATTGCAATCTGAGTAGGCTCCACCTCCACAATAAGATCGAAGACCATTCACCAATGAATTTAGGCAGTAGTTGCATTCTATTAGTTGAAGATCTTCCGTGCACTGTACCATTCCATAGACAACTACATTGTTCTTTAAATTAACGCTTTCCATTCTTCCATACCTATTAGATGCTGTGATCGCTTTCAAAGTAGCCACAGTCATTAGTCTCTTCACGGTTTTTATGAACTCATAACTATGATCTACACGATCTTCTTTTTGAGACCAACCAAAGACGGGGCCCTGGACTACTTGCTTAAAAAAATTTGTGGAATCGTAGCGAAGCATGCAACGTTGGGACCAAATTTCCACTTGGGCCGAAGATTGGCAATCATTTTTTATTCTACCCATCGCGTCGATAATGCATGAAAAACACTCCGGCTGAACAATGTACCCTGGGCACTGAGCGTGGCCATAGATAGCATTTGAACCGCTGCCAGCAATGTGGAAAGCGTAGTTTCCGGGACCAATCTGAAACTTTCGCATTACCATAAAAAGAACTTGGTCGATGTTCCTTCTCAGATATTAAAAGGTTTTTTTTTTCTTTTTTTTTTTAAATTAGTTAGCTTTTACATAAATTTTTGTAAAAATGTAAATATATTTGCATTGAGCATGTAAATGCCCAAAATTTTAATGGATAATTCACTACTACAAGAAAAACGTGAGCTGGAAAAAACTTATTTTTTTCTTAAATAAAACAATTTACTTGTAAGAATTTAAATTAAAAGAAAAAATTTATAAATAAAGACCCGCTTCGCTCGCTCGTTTCACATGCTCGCTCCGTTCCGCTCCGCTGGCTCACTCCGCTTAACTCCAGCATCTGTCTCTTACCTGATATATGAGTTATACCTAACAAATGTCCACCTTGGCGAATGTCCAGCCCTTTAGAAGAAAGATGCCTTAGAGTTTCTCACACACCAGGTGGGTTGGGCTACCATGCTTGACTAGCAATTGCAATCATTCAACAAGTTCAAGCATGCAAGCATTTGTTGATAATAACTGGCTTGGTCAACATATCAGCTGCATTTTTATCAGTTTGAACCTTTTGCAACAAAATATCACCAGATGCAATTAATTCTATGATCTTGTGATATCTCACATTAATATGCTTAGTTTTAGCATGGTATACCTAATTTTTAGTCAGATAAATGACACACTGACTGTCACAATTCAATTGAACTCCGCCTTGCATAACACCTAGTTTCTTTACTAGCCCAGAAGTCATAAGAGTTCTTTAGCACCTTCAGTTACTGTCATGTACTCAGCTTCAATTATATATAATGTCACAATAGACTGAACTGTAAATTTCCAACATATAAGCCCTCCACCAAGAGAAAAAAACATATCCAGTTGTAGACCTTCTATCGTCCAAATCACATGCATAGTCTGAATCCACATATCCAACAACTAAGGGATCATTCTGATAACTGTCAAAAATGATTATATGTCCTCATGTACCCTTCGGATACTTGAAAAATCCACTTAACTACTTGTTAATGTCGTCTTCCAGGTTTAGACATGTTTTTTTTGCAAACTTGACTAACAACATAAGTCAAGTCAGGATGAGTACATATCATATCGTACATCAAGCAGCCAACCACATTGGCATAAGGAATCTTTGTCATGTCTTCAATTTTCATATCTGTCTCAAGACACTGATATGAAGAAAGCCTAAAATGATTTGTCAATAGAGTGTTCACTAACTTTGCTTTGCTCATTCCAAACTTGTCAAACACTTTCTCAACATAGTTCCATTGAGATAACCACAGTCGTCCTGAGCCTCTGTTTCGATGAATCTCTATTCCAAAAATTTTCTTTGAAGCACTCAAGTCTTTCATATTAAATTTTTGACTCAGTAAAGCTTTCAAACCAAGGAAGTTATACATATTTTTTGCAACAATCATTATATCATCAACATACAGTGGCAGAAAAAAATAGAGCCATCTTTAAAGGCTCTTAACATAAACACAACAATTATACTCACATTGCTTGTAGCCAACATGAATCATGAAGGATTTTAACCACTTCTACCATTGACTTGGAGACCGTTTCAACCCATACATCGATTTCTTTAACCTATAAATCAGATGTTCATGTCCAGGTTGAGTGAACCATTTTGGCTGCTCCATATAAATTTGCTCCTCCAAATACCATGCCAAAATGCAGTTTTAACATTCATCTGCTCTAGATGCAGATCCCAAACAACTACTAATGCAAGCAATGTCCTCGTTAAACTATGTCTGACAACATGAGAAAAAAAATCATCATAATCTATACCTTTTTGCTGTGAAAATCCCTTTGCTACCAGTCAAGCCTTGATAGTTTCCCTTTGTATACTCATTTGCACCCAATAGTCTTCTTTCCCTTAGGAGGCTAAACTAACTCCCATGTATAATATTTCTGCAATTACTTTATCTCCTCAATCATTGCACTTATCCATTTCTCTTTCTCTTAGCTAGTGTTAGCCATGTGAAACTTGTTGGATTATCACTACTGATGAGAAGTGTAAAATAGACCAAATCTTCATAACTCAATATGCTGGGAGGCTTTATATTGGTGTGTCTCAGTCGATCTCTGTTTAAATTAAAATTTTGCAAATCATCTGTAATAGACTCACCGGTTGTAGGATTTGAACTTTCAACTCTCTTTAATGTTACAAGAGGTTGTTGGAAATCCATCTGCATTGTATCTTAACTGGAACTATTCTCTGTCACATTGTCTTGATGCTGCTGCAACATAAACTGCTCATCAAAAATTGCATCTCTACTGATCACCGTCTTCTTTACAATTGGATCTCAAAACTTGTATCCTTAGACACCTTTCTTGTATCTTAAAAAAACACACTTCTTGGTTTTTGGATCAAGTTTTGATCTTTCATCGTCAGGTACATGCACATAAGCAGGAAAACTAAGAGTTTGTAAATTATCCAAATTAACTACATTACTTGACCATACCTCTTTTGCAACCTTGCCACTCAATGATGCCCGAGAAGATCTATTGATGAGGTAGCACGCTATATTCACAGTCTTTGTCCATAAACTTTTAGGAAACTCTGCATTCAGTCTCCAGCATCTTGCCTTTTCAGTTAAAAGCATGTTCAGCTTCTGAAAAAATCTTTGAAACTACAAATATGTGTACTCAGTGTCATTATCAGATCTCAAATACCTGATATTTCTATCAGTGTGGTTCTCCACCTTAGCCTTCCACAATTTTTTTATGAACATGAAGAAAATTTTGACATTGTGACAACTATTAGTGAATGATAGCTCTATATGCTTACAAATGAATTGTACTTTTTTTTCTATTAGATTAAGTAAATAGTTAAAAATAATAATAATGAATTTATCTTCTCAGCAAAATTTTGAGTAAGATAATTAATTTATTTAGTTAAATCTTTAAATAATAATGGTCTTAATATTTTTTTTTTACATATATATATATTTTAAAGCCCTTATCATTTACAGTATTCATATTAAATTTGAAATAGCTAGAAAATAAGTTAGTATAGTTAAATTTCAAAAATATCTAAAACTATGAGAATTGCATGGGGATTTCTTGTAATTAGCTTTATGAATGATCAAATTGTTTTGATTAATTAAATTAAATCAATAACTTCTCATGATCCTTTTTAATGTAGCATTTATAATTAAAAGAAACATAAACAACATAGTTTACTTATGGAAATAGAATATGCATAGCACATACAAGTTATTTGAAATGAAAAGATTGGGAACTGAACTAGTTGGTTAGTTAACGAAAAAAAATTAAAGATGAAGCAATTTATAGTATCACTCTAAAAATGGTTCCCATACTTAGAAACAAGAGTTAGGCAATAGGACGAGCGAGAAAATTAGAAGTCTCATATCGCTAGCGCTATAAAAAAACTCGTTATTTGCGAACAACTCTTGTTCGACTTGATAAGTAGTTCTCGTTCAATTTGTTCGTTAAACAAGTGAACCAAACATGAGCATGTTTTTTTAGTTCGAATTATAAACGAACCGAACACCAACAAGAACTTGTTCGATTGTGTTCGGTTCGTTTTGGTTCAAAATAAATAAATAAAAATATAATTATAAAGTTTTATATTAAAATACTATGGTATATTTGATAGAAAAAATTAAAATATAAAATTTATTAAATTATTATAAAAAAGAAATTTTAATTCTAAATTATCTAAAATTGATCTCCATTTTTTATAATTTTTTTAATAAATAATTAAATTTCTTATTTTAAAAATTTTAAGCTCATTTCAAATCAAGCACGAGCAATTCAAACAAATCAAACAATGCGAACAATTCAAATTAAATTCAAACAAGTCAAATCGAACATGACCACCAATTTCATAAATAATTTAGAACACGAGACTATTTAAAATAGATTTAATTTCAAATGAACCAAAACACGAACATCACGTCTCTTCACTCAAGTCCGGTTCACCCCTACATATCTCGACATACAACTGGGAGCAAACATAATGCAATCTGAGTAGGCTCCACCTCCACAATTAGATCGAAGACCTTTCACCAATGAATTTAGGCAGTTGCTGCATTCTAATGGTTCGAGATCTCCCGTGCACTGTACCATTCCATGGACAACTACGTTGTTCTCTGAATTAACACTTTCCATTCCTCCATACCTAGTAGATGCTGCGATCGCTCTCATAGTGGCCTCTGCCATTACACTGTTCACGGTTTTTATGAAGTCTAAACTATGAGCAACAGGACTTTGTTTTTGAGACCAACCAAAGACGGGGCCCTGGACAACCTGCTTAAAAAAATTTGTGGAATCGTAGCGAAGGAAGCAAAGTTCGTACCAAATTTCCACTTCTGCTGAAGATTGGCAATCCTTTTTTATTCTACGTATCGCTTTCAAAACGCATGAATAACACTCCGACCGATTAATGTACATTGGGCACTGAGCGTGGCCATAGATAGCATTCGAACCTCTGCCAGCAAAGTGGGAAGCGTAGTTTACGGGACTAAGCTGAATCTTTCGCAATATAGTAAAAAGAACTCGGTCGATGTTCCTTCCCAGCTGTTTGTGGCCGGGTAAGTTGAAGTTTTTGAAGCAATCCTTATATGGCAAATCAGATTCACATCTCCCAAATACTGGAAGGAGGAAAACCAAAAAGATGAATAGTTTGCGTGAATTCTTCATTGCTATTTTTGCTTCCCCATGATTTGATTTGCATGCTTCTTTATAAGGAAAGAATTGAAGTAGACTTCAATGCTGTGCCGGCCTTCCACTAAAGTCTGGCAGCTTTTTATTTTTATTTATTTTATCTTTTTTAACATCTGACTCACGGATGTTAGAAGCAATTGCGTTAACAATTCCATTTGGCAACACAAAACCGAAGGTTGGTGATGTCGAAAGGGTACGTCTACAATAAATGGAAAACTACAGATAATATAATTAAAATTAATTGGTAATAATATTCTACATTGCCTATATATTATTTATAATATCTTTTTGTTTCACTACAAAATTAAAATTGAATACAGTGCCTATTAACTGATATAGTATTGCCTGAGCAACTTTTTATTTTTTTTCTTTTGCTCAAATTTTTTAGCAATATTAATAGCTACTTTTTCTTTTCTTTTCTTTTCTTTTCTTTTAAAAAAAAATTAGTTAGCTTTTACATAAATTTTGGTAAAAATGTAAATATATTGGAATTGGGTGGTGAGCATGTAAATGCCCCAAATTATAATGCATAAATCACTACTACTAGAAAAATGTGAGCTGGAAATAATTATTGCTTCTTAAATAAAATAGTTTACTTGTAAGAATTTAAATTAAAAGATAAAGTTTATAAATAAAGACTCGAGTAATTGAAAGCCCTAGTCATAGAAATGTGAAAATAATTGTTAATGGAAAATTATCGACAAAATGCATCATGGCTTGCAAGTACCCGCGGCCATTTGGTGCCACTGTAAGCATAGATTGCCTGTTTCGCTTTCTTTCTTTTTTTCTTCTGACCATCATAATTGGTAATGAAGGCAAATTAACGTCTCTGAGCATTGATCTTTCGAATAATATTTAGTAATTATGATGAAGACATTTTACTTAGAGCAATTATCTAGGCTCTGTTTGGTTGTTTGAAAAAGCTATACAATATAAAATGAATGAAATACGGAAGTAATGTATTGTATTTAAAATATTTTAGAGATATTTACTTTATTGTAAATAAATGAATAATTTCATTTTTCCGTTCAATTTGAAGTAATTAATTTGAAACAATATATTTTAAAGTATTTATTTCAAAATATTTAAAAATTTACATGTTACTGCTGACCGATAGATGGAGTGGTAGTGGCTGCAGGGTAGCTGTGGTGGGCAAGGATGGCATGCAGGCAGCGGCTAGTGACAGTCGGTGATGGCTAGCGATGACAGGTTTTAGGCGGCAAACGATGAACGGCGGTGGGCGATAATATTTTACATTAAATTATATTTTCATAATTCAGTAAGATTGGCCGAGTTTTAAAATAAAAGAAACTGAACTAAAATTGAATTTTAAATATAATATTAATTTACATTGAATTTGATTTTCTTCCAAACAAAGAGTTGAATTTCCAAAACCCATGCATTAGGAATAGAATGCACTCATAATGATGCTGACCAAACAACCTTCCAAGGCAATTCGTGAGACGACCTAAATGTCAATTGACCACATGAAAACAAAAAACGTCGGTTTAAATGTATCTCTCTCTAAAAATTTTTGTTAAAAAAATATGAGCTCCTCGTCTATAGGTGATATATGTGATATATATATATATATATAAGTCTTCATTGTTGAGTATGCATATAATTTTTTTTTAAATGAATGACCAGAGGCTATTATACGTGCCCGACCATTCCTCATGCGCCTAAGAATTTGATTACCCAACCCAACACTCGGGGGGAATCGAGTGGAATCGAACCACAGACCAGAGGGGACTTATAACTGACAAGCAGATGTCCGACCAACTGATATGAGTATGCGTATATATATATATAAGAATGGGTCGAGGCATGAGGTCCCCAACCCACCCTATCCGCTCGACCCTGATCAGGTATCCAAGGCGACCCATGCACCAAATTATTTGAGGAGGCATCAGTCACCAGAGGTGAGATTCAAACCCCAGTCGAAGAGAAAATTAATTAATAAAATTTATTCTCCTTATTACAGATGTCGAGTGGAGGTAAGGATGTTCTCCCTCATCACTCAATGGGCGTGGAACAGTGCTATATGTTGAAGAAGAACAACAAGAGAGACTGCCCGACTTCGAAACCCACACCCACCACAGCCCTTACTTCGATCCCCTCCTGCGTACCTACCTATGAAGCCTTTCAAAAAAAAAAAAAAAAAAAAAATACTAGAAGAGAGGTATTTTCAATATATTAAATAATTTATATTATTGTTTGTTAATCAACTCGTAATTTTTAACCAAATAATTTGCACTCTAAATTTGAATTTCCTAGTCATATACATCATTGGATTTTAAAATTCGTTGGCACTAAATGATGTAACTACAAGAATAGCCTAAAATCAGAGCATTGAGATAGCAGTCCAATACAGGAGGTTATGAAGAATGATTCTGAATGAGTAGACACACTTCAATTGCGTCCACTTATGATAGGGGTCACAACCAGATGATCAAGTTTTCATTATATTTTGTCTAATTTTGAATAGAACAAAAGAATTAATATTTTTCACTTGCAAAGAAGGGCGATAAAAAATAGTAAAAATGTAAAAGAGCTGACATGTCCTCACACAATGAGTCGAATTAGGTTCTTTAAGAGATAGGATGAAATTGTATGATATTATTTTTGTTAATAAATTGTATGTAGTAAGTATGTCGAATTATTTTTTTTTTATCATTTTCTTTTTTAGACTATTTGTGATAGTCTACAGTTATGAAGGCTTAATAGGATATATAAGGATGTGAAATGATCGTCTAAAAATGCTAAGGAGAAATGAGTAATAATATTAGCTTATTTTATTTGTAATGATTAATTAAATAAATCATTTTAGTTTTAGTTGTATATATCTATGTAATGTAGATGCAATTGTACATTCTTAGAGATGGAAGGGTTAGAAGAAGGTAACATAGAAGTAAATGAGAGGACTTCTATGGCTGTCATGAGTCTTTAACACCCTGGAAGTGTACAAACCAAGAGGTTTAGAGTCACTCCAACTCCATTTTTTCCACACAGTACCAAAGCAATAGTTATGTCTATTTCTGGTCGAGTTAAAAAATTAGAAAATGACATGCATTCCTTATAGTACTAGATAAGATAATTCATTCAACAAATGCAGATGAATTATCAACCACAAAGAGGATCATATTCGATATGTTATTTTTTAAGTAATTAATTATTTAATTTCATATTAATCATCCTAAAATTATTAATTGATTGTGTGTTTGCTCTTAACAGTATAACAAACCTTATTCAGAATGATGAGTTGAGAGGGAATCTCTAATAATGTCATCTTTTCTTTTTGTGTTTTTGTTGAGTATTTTGATTTCTTTTATTGTAAGACTGATGGAGGTCTATCTCATAGATTATTTGACTTTTTAATATTCAAGGGATGTTACTACTTAGTTTGTAGAAATTATGTATTTTAATGCTCACTGAATACTTTAAATTATGGATACTAAAATGATGGATTGATATATGTTTTGATATATTTAAGATATTAGTATTATTTCATATGTGTGTGTATGTGTGTGTTTTTTTGGTTCATTATTTACCACCCATTTCTTTGCACTTTCACATTTAACACAAACTTCAATTTTTACATTCGCACTATGTGTTAGGCATAGAAATACGTATGTAAATCTTCTTTCATATATATTGATGTTATCATATATATAAGTTTATTGAAATTGTGTATAATTATAAAAATTAATTAAAAAATCTTGAAATTAGCAGTCGATAAAACCCCTGTAAAAATAATTGCAGCTAAAAATCTCTCCCGATGGTTTTAAAACCGATGCTATCAGTATTTGCAATGATGATAATTAGCAACGATTTTAAACGCTATAATTAAAATAACAGTTAAAACTGCTGTAAAAATCTATAATTTTAGAACTTCTGCTTCAAGTCTTTGCAGTGTTAACAAGTAGTGCAGTTAATACCGTTGCATAAGCATCATTGTTAAGATCTTTCTCAACTGTTTTTAAACCGCTGCTTAAAGTCATTTTAATGCTGACAATTACAATTCTTTAAAAATCGCTGCAATGAAAATAACAAAGGATTTACTAATAGGATAACATTAACATTTGGCATGAATCAGACACATTTGGCACAAAATAGAAGAAAAATTCATATGACTGAGTTTTGTCTTCATCACCCGAAAAAAGTTGATCAGTAAAAAAAAATGAAAATGCTGATTTTTCTTACTCAAATTCTAAAAATTTTGTCCAAATTTTTTACAAAAATTATTTTAATCAAAATTTCTCAAATTTTTAATAGAAAAGTAAGGAATTTTATTTTATTGATTCAATAAAATAAAAGGTTTCATGTCACCTGTTGAAATTCTTAATTATAAAAGTCATTTTAGATTATTTTAAGAGAATAACAGTAAGTGTATGCAAATTATTAATGCCTTTAACATATGAAACGTATTGAATTAATAAAAAATTGAAAGAAATTATAAGCAAATATTTTAATATTCTTTGTCCGCTAGTACTCTCCACAGTTGCTGCAATTACTTGGAGAAGACATTATAAACAACCAATAGATATTATAAATAAACTTATTGCATTACATCATAGAAAATAACATTGTATGATCGTTCTTTACTGCATCATTTGTAATTAAAAGCAATAAAACCGCTCAACTTAACTATGACAAGATAATATCTATACTCATAAGCCTGACAAGATAATTAGCCAAGATATATCACTTGACTTATTAATACAACATACACATAAAGGAAATGGATGCTTAAACCAGAGAGAAAACACATTAACAACTTGTAATATCAATCTAAAGATTGATATGATAGCTTAAGCACAATCAAGTGTCAGGCAGCAGGGCCAACAAGAAAATTAAAATTCTCATACTTTAACCTACAATCGGTATTGAACACATCGCAACCAAATCGGGAATAGCAACTCTTTGACATGATTTTGGATTCTTCATCAAGACATTGCTTACATGTTTGTTCCTGAAGATCACGTGTGCATTGTGCCATTCCGTAGATAATCATGTTATTCTTAAAGCTATTACTATTTCCCCTAGCAAACTTATTGTCTCTTGTTGCCGCAGTTATTTTTATTACTTCCAATAGTTCCGTCACAACTTTGTTGAAATCTACAGGATCATCTGCCGTTTTATTTGAAGCCCAACCATTGGCATAGCTCGTGTCTAATTGCCCGAAAAAGTTATTGGAACTATAGCGAATGAAGCAAAGTTTGTACCAAAGTCGTGCATCGGCTGAGAAAGGGCAATTTGCTTGGACTGTATGTGTTGCTTCTAAGATGCATGCCGAACATGCATCGAGATTGATGTCCCCTCGACACTGAGTGAGACCATGGATAGCATCCGAACCCGAGCCGTAGGAAGCGATTGCGTAGCCGTCGCGAGTTGTCTTTACTAATAGATCAGAAATGACATGATCAATGTTCTGTTTCATGTTGGGGTTTGTAAAAATGTTGAAGTCTGCGTGGCATTCCTGATGCAGTAAATCGGTGCTACATCTCCCAAGTATGGGAAGGAGACTTAATATGAAGAGCTTGAATGCAAAATCCATTGCTGTTTTCTCTTCACAATACATATATATATATATATATATA